ATTCAATAAATTATATTAAAGACAAAGATAGTTGATATTTAAAACTCATTATTATATAATTAATTATTTTATTACAATCTGTTCTAGGTTATTTATGTCCTTTGTATCTCTATGGTAGAAATAATTATAATAGCGTGCTACTGTTTATCTCTTCACAAATCTGTTTTTAAGGATGTCATATTGGTAGCTTGAAATCAGCCATGGTAAGAATATTTACACCACAGATACTGGCAAATGCTAAAAACCAGGATCTGATCTTTTGTGACATTGATTATGTAAAATTAAATAAACTAGGGAGAAAGTATTAATGCAGATTTAACTTAAACATGCATTGTCTATACCCTTTACAACGTGACTAGAACACAAAATTAAATATATATTCTAGTATGTTAAAATGATTGTCCAGTTCAGAACAGAGTTGCTCACATCACTGTCAAAGGAGTAAAGTTCCAACATACATATCTAAGATGCCTCTTTCATTTTATTTGCCAACATGAATGAAAATTTCAAATGACATTCATATCAGAATTATACATATTCATTAATACAGGGTTATCTTTTTTGCTGAATTAAATGGTAATCAAGTATTTATCTGTGCTGTAATTTGTTGTGATATTGTAACAATAGTTTTTTAAAAGCTGATAATGGGTTTTGCAAGAGATATGAAGTACACTGAAGTTGTATGTGTTTAAAATTTAAAATCAATGATATATTTTATCTGTAAATTGTGTGCTATAAATTTTATTTTTACTATAAATTAAATATAAGATTTATCCGCAGTACACTCATAGATACTGAGAAACGACTAGTAGTTACCATGGGGGGTGTTGGAATAATTCAGTGGGGAGGGTAAAGGAGATAAACAGGCACAGAAATTCCCAATCATAATATAAATTGGCCACAGGGATAGTAATACAGCATGAAAATTATAGTCAATGATTTTGTAACATCCTACTATGTTTACAGATAGTAACCATACTAGTGGAGGTGAGGATTTAATGGTAGGGGTAACTGCTGAACCACTGTGTTGTATATTTGAAACCAATATAAAATTATATATCAAAGATACTTCAATTAAAAAAAAAAAGAAAGTGTAGGAGCCAGAATTCAAACCTAAATTATCTGACAGTGTTAACCACTATGCATTATTGCCTCATATACAGTATCATAGCATCAAGTAAAATATATGTAATTTCCATGTTTCTGTATATATTAGTAGAAAAAGGACAAGAAGAAAACACACTAAAGTATTAATGAGTACTACTTCCGGGTAATGGGTTTGTGAGTGATTTTATACTATTTTTTCCTACTTTTCTCCATTTGAAAAATTTTCTAAAATGGGTGTATGTTATGCAGATCATCAGAGATAATTTTTTCAAGGAACTAGAGCTACTCTTGGGACACTGTGCCTAGATTCTAGTGTCAAGAAAGCAAAATAAAAAAAAGCATTGATCTTGAAAATATATACATATATATGTATATATATGTAAGATTTTAAGTATAAATTAAATTTACACATTTTGAAAATGTATATATATTTTATTTTTATTTGTAAATTGTGTGCTTTCTATCAGTAAAACGTATAAGGAAATTACGTGTATGCACACACACACACTATACGAACATGCATATGATTTTTTCTTGGAGAGGCTTCTGTTAAACATTTATCACAATACCACAGGCTGAGAACCTCTCAAAGACAAGAATTATGTCTTGTTCTTATATCTCTAATGCCTGGATAATAGGTCTTTTCGGTGGTTGACATAAAGTCCGGTGAATTACTATTATTTTAAGCTTATGTATACAGCCAATATCATTTAGATTTGAAAACCCCAAATTGGTGCAGAAATCATTGTTCAAGAAAAGAGTATTTAAATCAAAATGACCTCCTTAAGTGGAAAAATTAATAGGCCTATTAAGGCAGGCTCTGCGTGTTTCCGCTATGGGAAATTCCAGCTGTGATGTTAACTCGTGTTCCACCGACCGGAGATGAAGCCTTGGGCTGAGAATAGAATGCTTAAACTTCACCTGTGAACCTTCTGTCTACATCTAAATAGTTGTTAATGTGTGTGTTTTGTTGGGGGGTGAGGGGTGGTGTAGGTTTGTAACCAAAGTTGAATACTTTATAGAAGGGTGGGAAGATGAAATTATAAAATTATTCCATTAAGTAAAATAATAATATTAATAATAATAGTTACCACATAGGACAAAAAGATAAAATTAATGCACCAATCTAGAAGATCTGGTATCTCACTAGTAAGAGTTCTAGAAAGAAAGAAGCACGGTGACATTTCCCAGGAACGGAAGATACAAACTTCCAGATTGAAAGAGCTCATGGAGCACCTAAGCAGAGTGAATGAAAAGAAACACAGACATAGGCACAGCATTGTGAAATTTCAAAACACCAGAGATAAAATTTGCAAAAGCATCCAGAAAAGGAAAAAAAAAGTGAAAACAAAACTAGGTCACATACAAGTAGCAGGAATTTTCAGCACCAACATATAGTGGTAGAAAACATTGAATCAAACCTTAAAAATTCTGATTGAAAATCATTTTGCAGCCTAAACTTCTGTACTCAGTAAATCAATCCAGTGTGGGACTAGAACTTAAAAGTTTACGGTCAGCTACATGTTCAACAGAGTATCACAGATGCAGTATTCTTTCAAAAAATACTGAATCAGAATATAACTATGAGAATAATCAGACAGATTCAAAATGTGAGACAGTTTATAAGACAACTGATCTAGACTACTCCAAAAGGCAGTGTGACTGTAAGCAGTAAAGGCTGGAGGATTATATTCTGCAAAAAAATTAAGCAGATATAATGACCAAATGCAATTCACAAACCCTGCTTGGGTTTGACCTTTTAAAAGGTACTGTAAAAGATATGCTTTTGACAGTTGCAGACATTTTACTATGAACTTCACAGTAAATGATATTATGGAATTATTGTGAGGTTTTTATTGTTGCTGATGTAACAGTATTGAATTTGTGTAGAATATCCTTATATTCAGGAGATGCAAGCTGAAGTCCTTAGGGATGAAGTATCAGCTTTCTGGAATGGGCTTGCAAATGGTTTAGAGAAAAATGTACATAGAAAGTGAGATACAAATGGGACAAAAATGTCAACAATTGGCATACCTAGATAAGCAGATGAGTGTTCATTGTACTATTATTTTAACTTTTCTGTATAATTAAATCTTTTCACCCAAAAAACAGAAACAAAAAGGAGGAAGTATAAAACTAAAAGGAGAGAAAAAGAGAGGGAGAAAGAATGTAATTATTCTCTCCAATATACCTCTTAGTAGAGGTTATTGAAAGAGAGGTTTCAGGGAGAAAAGAGAGCCAGCAGGAAAGGAAACTCGGTGAAAGTGAATTCAACACAAACGGTGGTGTGGGGGAGGCTTCGGAAAACGTCTCTGCCTTTAGCCCCGTCAGTCTGGACCCGTCAGGCTGGGCAGTGATCTGGTCTGGCAGGAGGTGGTTTCTGTGTAACACAAGGAAATAATCGATTATATGAAGTTTTTGAATATTTAGAAATATTATTGCTAGTTTACTGTAACTACTGTGACAAGTGAAGATGAGTAATTCTAAATATATAGAAAACCAAGAAACTAAAAAGAAGAACGAGCAATTACTAAATTTAGGAGAATAAAAACAGAATTGTATTAACCTATTTGGATCATTAGTGAGTAATAATTATTTATCATTACTTAATAATAATGTAGATACTGACTAACAAAAATTAGGATGAGATTATGGGACTATATTAGGAAAACAAGTTTAGAGAAAGATACAGAGAGGAGTCTGTAATAGAACTAAATCCTTAACAACCTGAATGGCTAGTAAGTAGAAAACGATCAAAATTCATAAATCAAGCAGCATTAATTTAACTATATTACTTCATAACAAAAACTTTAACACTAAAATAACAGGTGAAAAGGCTAAAAGAGAACTAGAAGTAGGACAAGATAAGGAACTGCTGCTTTTTGGACATGAGCCCTTTTTTATTTTCTATGGAATTAAAAAATTTTTTAATATTCTAAAGCTAATTTCAGGGTATAAAAATATGTGCAGATTATTTTTTTAAAGTACTGTTAGCATACTGAAAAGATCAAGTGGAGAAAGCACCCCATACCACAGAGGAAAAAATATGGTGACATGGAAATCATGAATGGGAAAGAAAAAGAAATTTAAGTCAGGCTGAGAAAACCTCACATGGAAGTAACGGCGTTATACGGAGGGTAAACCCAGAGGCGCACAGCTGCTAGCTTGCTTTACGATTCGGTAATGACATCTCTGCCTGAGCTTTGTCAGCATTAATTTCATCAGGTAATGAAACTGCACAGAACATTATTTTATTGATGAGATTTAAAAACCATAGAATACTCTACAAAATAAAAGGTTTTCATTTCACTTCTTTCTCCCTCCTTCCCAATGCCCTTCCTTCCTGCCTCCCTTTCTTCTTTATTCTCCCTTCCCTTACTTCTTTTCTTTACTTTTCTCTTTTTGCAAAGACCACATCTTTTTTATTTTACTGGAAGTTGACCATATTCTAAGGATCCTCAATGTTATGGTTTCTGTATTTATTATGATTATTATTAGGGAAAGAAAAAAGAAATCTCCCACTGAGGTTGTAACAAATATGTCAGCACCACCATTAAGTTTTCACAGTTGTTTTTATCTACCCATAATATTTTCCCCCCAAATAATATTTTTAATTTCTTAAATTGTCTTCATTAGTGTCATTCAAAATTCTCAACAAACCCTAGAGTAGGTATTGCTACTCTAATGATACACCGAGTTTAATTATTAAAAGGTAATATGTGATCCATGAAATATTATTCAAAGTTATGTGGAAATTGTTAATCTAGTAAAAGCTGATGCAGAGAAACTAACCAAATATAAAAACTAAAGTATATAAAATCTCACTAAGCAAAATCAGAGCAAAGTTAATCCAACTGATTGCTAATAGGTCTTTCTACCACTTTCTGCCTCAGGGGTATGATGATAGCTACGGGGGTGAATATGAGGAGCAGACCTATGACACCTACGATGACAGCTATACCACCCAGACGCAAAGGTAAGGCGTTTGCTGTCGAAAGCGCCCATCTCGGGATTCCTTCTAATCCTGCTGTTTTGTTTCTTGTATCTGTTATCAGTTATATTATGTGAGAGTTTCTCGCAGTGATTTTTCTCCTTTGTCTTTTTCAATTATTGAGTTGCTTACTAGGCTGTGAGAGGTAAAATAATAAATAGCCTTATGATTGCTGATAATGAAAGAGTGTGTTATCTTAAGACTAGATGCTTATCATACCCCATAAACTAATTAAACAGACTTGTATTTAACAAAATACTGTTATTTTTAGAGATTATTTTAGTGAATTCATCATCACCACAACAGTGAAAGCAAGACTCTTACACAATGGAGCTTTTTCCTCTTAAAATGTAATTTTCGTTAGTGAAACAAAAGATAAGGAGATGTTATTAATGCTCTGAAGAGAAGGAAATTCATAAAACATGTTATAGAATCAACAATTCCTATCTTGATGGATCTCTAAGTGACTGTGGATTATATCTCTTTAAATTGACTCAAAATTTCAGATCTCAATGAATTTTTTACTTTCTTAAAGTCGTGTTTTTTGTGGTATTTTATATATATGTATATAGTAAAATTTCCCATTTAAGTTACAGTTGTATGAGTTTGGATAATACAAACTATCATGTAATCACCACCAAAATTAAGATATAGAGCATTTTAGTCAGTCCAAAATGTTTCCTTTTGCACTTTATAGATAACAATTCCCCTGCCCAGGCCCTGGAAAACACAGTTTTTTGTCATTACAGTTTTGCCTTTTCTAGAATGTCATCTAAGTAGAAGCAATACAATATTTAGCCTTTTCAGTCTGGCTTCTTTACTAGATGTAATGCACTTGATATTTATTTATTCATGTTAATGTGCACCCATGTTTAATTCCTTCTTATTACTGTGTTATGTTTCATTGTAAGGATGTACATTAGTTTCTTTGTCCATGCTGAAGGCTTTTTGGGTTTCTACTTATTTTGCAGTTAAGAATAAAATGGTATAGAACAAATGCATTCTTAGAAAAATCAATCACCTCAATTTTTTTCTGTAAAATGTTATAATATACAGAATACAGCATTGACCATTTATTGATCAAGTTTGTGGATAGCCAAAAAGATTTGGATGTTTTATTAAGTAATAAGTGGAGGAGAGGAGGTGACAAAGAGGAAAAACAACTTTAAGATCGTTATGCAGTAGAAGAAATCTACATGTACTGCATAACCATGCATTTTTCATGGCCCAAGGGACAGCACAGTGAAAGGGGTAAAAGGAAATTCTCTTTAGAGATAATAATATAAACAATTAGGAAGAAGATGAGTGAACTGATACCTTTAAGCTAATCATAACTTAAGATATCATAATGGAGATGGCCACCTTCAACTCCGAGTAACAGGTTAATTTGCAGTAGGTTACGTAGAAAGTCATCATGAGTCAAAAGAGTTTCTGCTTCAGGTAATATCTTAATTGTCCCCATTACACATTGGAACACAGTACGGTTCTTTGGGATGGGGGAAAGTTTCATATCACAAACATACTGAACAGAATACTGAATGCAAATTGCTACATATTTAAAACATCTGCTGATATTTTCATTCAAATTTCTAGTTCATCATTGTATAATAGTACCTATAAACTAGTGATAATAAAGCTCTGTAAGTTGTTTCAGAAACTACTAGGTAGAAAACATAATTACCACCCATTGCATATGCAACAAGAATAGAGTAAAATAATAATGTTTTGATGCTGTTCTGTAGAGCTACATTCAGCTTGTGGAGATCTGGGGATAATTTTCTGAAACATAGGAGCCGCTACTTCTTTCTTTTGTGAGATTCAAATGGACTTAAGTGACTCTAAAGATAAGGAAGAACAAATCAGGAATTAGGATAATTTATTTTTGAATATTTGAAAAGTGAATGCTAGAATAATTGAACATAGCTTATAAGCGAATATATTTTTTAGAAGTTATAAAATAATTTTGGAAAAACATTCTCTTGTTTTAACAAAGCATAATGTATATGTAAACAAATATTTTCTATGTATTTCTGCTACCTTGTCTTTACCCTCTCCTCCACATTCCATTTTCTGTGGCTAAAATTCTTCCCATTCTCCTTGGCCCAGCTCAAAAGCCAACTCTCCCAAAAAATCTTTCCTTAGTCCTTTATTTGGGAAAAATCTGCTTCTGCCCTGAATTCTAATAGCTCCACACCTATACTTCCCTATGGCACTTTTTTCCTCTGCCTTACACTGGGATCATGGGTGTGCCCACATCTCTTACCACTCTTGCCCAGAATCCTGGTCTGATACACCCTCAGGTCCCTCTCACTATCTGTTATCGAGTTTTTCATAGGGTATATGCTGAATAAATGATTGTTGAATACATGAATATCAGGCCTAATATGAACCTACACTATGAAGACACAAAATAAGAGCCTCATCTCTCAAAGAGAACACAATATTTAGAATTAAAAGTACCATATTTACTGAGAACATCCTTATATATTTCTGTCTTAGTGCTAAACCAGGAAGGATAAAGAAAGCAGGACATGAAATTAGTTACAGTGATACTGATATTCTTTATTACAATGATTAAAAAATACTTATTTTAGCCAAAACATATCCTCAATTCTAGTATAGTGTCTGGAACACTAGAGGTTCTGAAGTAAAGATTTGTTGAATAAATGAATGAAAAAATAAATGACTACATTAATGAATGAATAAAATTAACACTTATTTCAGAAAACTCCATGAGGGAGAATTTTAAAATATAATAACAATTTGTATTAGAAATGGATAAACACTGAGATGTATTTCATGATATATTAAATTCCTCACTTCAGATTATTTCTATTGATCCAACAATGACCATGGAAGGTAAGATTAATAGTTCAGCTAAATAAGCACATATTAAATGATTATGTGTGCCAGAAAGTATACTCTCCATACAGTGACAGTAGTTAATCTTTAATTTTTAAATATGTTTTAGTATTTGCTCCCAATAATTTGTTTGCAGAGTCATTTTCAACATGTGTATATATTTAAACAAATATATTATAAGTGAAACAATTATGTAATAATCAAGGATTAGGAATTAGAAGGGAAAGAGTTCATTTGCTACAAGAATCAGTCTGGAACAGTTTGTTTTGCAAACAGGTGGATTTTTAACTGGATTTTTAAAAGTATGACTTGAGTTTATGGAGGGAAACAGAAAATTTCTAAAGTGGAATAAAGTGAAACATATGGGCAATATACCTTCTCCATCATTTACAAAAAATATGAATATTATGTTGGCATCGTCTTGGTCAAAACAGAAGAAATGCTGATTTAGACTTTTGAAAATAAAACAGCAGATTATGTGTGACTTGGCAGTACTGAAATAAATGCACAATTTTTAGATAAAATGGTCTTTAATTGACTAGTCAGAATAGGTGATTACAGAATTTGTGGAGATTATAAAGTAGAATCTGGCAGGTGCCTGAGTAGAATGATTGTATCATCGTCAACAGAGAGTCTGAGGGAAGTTCATGAGGTCACAGCCCTACAAAGGTTCACCTGAAGTTCGGAAGCTGTAACAACTTTAATTAATCCCCAGTTGTCTTGTAAGGTGTCATTAGTTCTCCAAAACTTCAAATGGATCAGAAGAGGGACTTCACTAAAGATACCATAGGAGGCAGCTCAGCTAAGTGACATATTAAGGGCTGGTGAAGATGACAACCATATGAGGGGCCTCTGACAGTCTTTCTCTCTTGCTCTGTGTCTATGAGGATAAAGAGCAAAGAAATGGATTGTTGAGTTTATTATACAAGCTTCAAGTTGCAGAACTAGTATTGTAGTTTCCAGGGAACTCAATTCCTTAAAATCTTTGGCTCCAGACAAGTTACATCCTGTAATTAACACCTTTAATTTGGAAACAAATATCAAATTCTGTTCATGTTCTGAAACCCAATTTTTTATGCACTTCTCAAAGTCTTTAAAATTTTCAGAGATCAATGCTCTGAAATCATGTAAATTTACAAGGTTTTACCAACCAATTTATTTTTCCCAATGCCCAAATTGAAGCAAGAATCTATAGCAAACCAAAGCATATATTGAGAAAAAAAGTAACTTTTGGGTACTTAGATACACATTTCTATTCCAATTTTGATTTTTCTATTCTAACAGCAATTTAATTTGGATGTGGAATGTTCAGCATTTATAAATTTCCTATGTTATTTGGTGTTGTAGGCAAAATATCATAACAGAAGCCTTTACTTTCCTTAAACATGAATCAGGTGAGAAACTCAATACAACCTAGGAAAAGAATCCTCTTTTTCTGTAGATAATGAAAGAACTGCTAGGAGAGCAAAGGTATATCACCCTCTGATAT